TGCAGCTCTTTTCAATGACTTCATTCCTGATTTCATCTCTTCTGGTCACTCCTGCAGCTCTTTTCAATGACTTCATTCCCGATTTCATCTCTTCTGGTCACTCCTGCAGCTCTTTTCAATGACTTCATTCCTGATTTCATCTCTTCTGGTCACTCCTGCAGCTCTTTTCAATGACTTCATTCCTGATTTCATCTCTTCTGGTCACTCCTGCAGCTCTTTTCAATGACTTCATCTCTTCTAGTCACTCCTGCAGATCTTCTCAATGACTCATTCCTGATTTAATCTCTTCTGGTCACTCCTGCTGCTCTTTTCAATGACTCATTCCTGATTTAATCTCTTCTGGTCACTCCTGCAGCTCTTTTCAATGACTCATTCTGACTTCATCTCTTCTGGTCACTCCTGCAGCTCTTTTCAATGACTTCATCTCTTCTGGTCACTCCTGCAGCTCTTTTCAATGACCTCATCCCTGACTTCATCTCTTCTGGTCACTCCTGCAGCTCTTTTCAATGACTTCATCTCTTCTGGTCACTCCTGCAGCTCTTTTCAATGACTTCATCTCTTCTGGTCACTCCTGCAGCTCTTTTCAATGACCTCATCCCTGATTTCATCTCTTCTGGTCACTCCTGCAGCTCTTTTCAATGACTCATTCCTGACTTCATCTCTTCTGGTCACTCCTGCAGCTCTTTTCAATGACCTCATCCCTAACTTCATCTCTTCTGGTTACTCCTGCAGATTCTTTCACACATCTCTTATTTCTGTGGTTATTAACTTTCTTTTCTGGTTCGTTGTGAGTGATCATTTTTGATATGGGTAGCGGAGAGTGGGGATGAGTATGCTTTATATGTGCTGATAGATAGTGTCTTCTGTCACAAAAGAAGGGGGGAGGGGGTGTGGGGGTCTAGCTGGTTTGCCTAATGCTGCAAGAGGAGAGTTAGTCGTCCCAATATTTTATATGCTCTACTGCATCTGATGTTAATTTATTCACCAATTTTCCATCTTCTCAGAAACGTTGCTCCTAGATATTTAAACTCAGATGCGTGTTTAATGCCTTTGCAAACTCTATTGTTATATTTAGGTTCTAAAACAGAGTATGCTAAACTCAAGAACAGTGAGCCACTAGCCGCAAGATTTCTGTAAGTTTATTTTATGTCTTTTTTTTCTTCAAAATACCTGGCCAAGAGTGATATTTCCTCTGAAATCTCACATCTATTGACACTCTCCCCATGTGGGTTTTGTGGCCCCTTTTTTGAAAGTGGGTAAGGGGGGGGGGGGGGGGGAGAGCAAAGGCCCACTTTCCCCCAACAAGCATGTTGTAAAAAGCAACTATTTAGGTTTTTACTTCAAAGCCACAATGTATCTGCCTCAGAGATGAGAAACTTACAGTCTGCATACAAATAAACAGAACTGTAAAACAGATACACACACAAAACTTCTGGAATATGACCAAAGTCCAGAAGCGGACAAATAACCAGAACTTTCTGCCTGTAAATGCAAAGAAGACCTGGTTAACCTTTCTGATTAATTTTTTAGGACGCTGCACAGGCAAACTTTTCTGTCAATGTCGTCACACTTGAATCTGGAGATGCCTTCTCTAACAGACCTTATTAAGAAACAAAAAAAATTGCCCAGAAGAGCCACATGTATGATGGCCCTCAAGGTAAGGTTGAGGCAGAATATCCAAGGAGGTTTCCATAAATGCAGAACCTTCACATCAGGTCCTGACAGTGGACTCACTCAATCTATCATCACCCCCTGCAAATGACAATGGTTTAACCAATACCTGACAGTGGACTCACCACCATGCCCTGCCCATGACAACCGTTTAACCAATACCTGACAGTGGACTCACTCAATCTATCACCAAGCCCTGCCCATGACAACGGTTTAACCAATACCTGACAGTGGACTCACCACCATGCCCTGCCCATGACAACGGTTTAACCAATACCTGACAGTGGACTCACCACCATGCCCTGCCCATGACAACGGTTTAACCAATACCTGACAGTGGACTCACCACCATGCCCTGCCCATGACAACGGTTTAACCAATACCTGACAGTGGACTCACCACCATGCCCTGCCCATGACAACGGTTTAACCAATACCTGACAGTGGACTCACCACCATGCCCTGCCCATGACAACGGTTTAACCAATACCTGACAGTGGACTCACCACCATGCCCTGCCCATGACAACGGTTTAACCAATACCTGACAGTGGACTCACCACCATGCCCTGCCCATGACAACGGTTTAACCAATACCTGACAGTGGACTCACCACCATGCCCTGCCCATGACAACGGTTTAACCAATACCTGACAGTGGACTCACCACCATGCCCTGCCCATGACAACGGTTTAACCAATACCTGACAGTGGACTCACCACCATGCCCTGCCCATGACAACGGTTTAACCAATACCTGACAGTGGACTCACTCAATCTATCATCACCCCCTGCAAATGACAATGGTTTAACCAATACCTGACAGTGGACTCACCACCATGCCCTGCCCATGACAATGGTTTAACCAATACCTGACAGTGGACTCACCAACATGCCCTGCCCATGACAACGGTTTAACCAATACCTGACAGTGGACTCACCACCATGCCCTGCCCATGACAACGGTTTAACCAATACCTGACAGTGGACTCACCACCATGCCCTGCCCATGACAACGTTTTAACCAATACCTGACAGTGGACTCACCACCATGCCCTGCCCATGACAACGGTTTAACCAATACCTGACAGTGGACTCACCACCATGCCCTGCCCATGACAACGGTTTAACCAATACCTGACAGTGGACTCACCACCATGCCCTGCCCATGACAACGGTTTAACCAATACCTGACAGTGGACTCACCACCATGACCTGCCCATGACAATGGTTTAACCAATACCTGACAGTGGACTCACTCAATCTATCATCACCCCCTGCAAATGACAATGGTTTAACCAATACCTGACAGTGGACTCACCACCATGCCCTGCCCATGACAACGGTTTAACCAATACCTGACAGTGGACTCACCACCATGCCCTGCCCATGACAACGGTTTAACCAATACCTGACAGTGGACTCACCACCATGCCCTGCCCATGACAACGGTTTAACCAATACATGACAGTGGACTCACCACCATGCCCTGCCCATGACAACGGTTTAACCAATACCTGACAGTGGACTCACCACCATGCCCTGCCCATGACAACGGTTTAACCAATACCTGACAGTGGACTCACTCAATCTATCATCACCCCCTGCAAATGACAATGGTTTAACCAATACCTGACAGTGGACTCACCACCATGCCCTGCCCATGACAACGGTTTAACCAATACCTGACAGTGGACTCACCACCATGCCCTGCCCATGACAACGGTTTAACCAATACCTGACAGTGGACTCACCACCATGCCCTGCCCATGACAACGGTTTAACCAATACCTGACAGTGGACTCACCACCATGCCCTGCCCATGACAACGGTTTAACCAATACCTGACAGTGGACTCACCACCATGCCCTGCCCATGACAACGGTTTAACCAATACCTGACAGTGGACTCACCACCATGCCCTGCCCATGACAACGGTTTAACCAATACCTGACAGTGGACTCACCACCATGCCCTGCCCATGACAACGGTTTAACCAATACCTGACAGTGGACTCACCACCATGCCCTGCCCATGACAACGGTTTAACCAATACCTGACAGTGGACTCTATCTATCACCACGCCCTGCCCATGACAACGGTTTAACGAATACCTGACAGTGGACTCACTCTATCAACACGCTCTGCCCATAACAATGGTTTAACCAATACCTGACAGCGGACTCACTCAATCTATCACCATGCCCTGCCCATGACAACGGTTTAACTAATACCTGACAGTGGACTCACTCTATCAACACGCTCTGCCCATAACAATGGTTTAACCAATACCTGACAGCGGACTCACTCAATCTATCACCATGCCCTGCCCATGACAACCGTTTAACCAATACCTGACAGTGGACTCACTCAATCTATCACCAAGCCCTGCCCATGACAACGGTTTAACCAATATCTGACAAAACAGTGCTAGCTTATTCACAAGATGATTTTACCAACTCTAAAATGACAACTAAAATAACTCTAAATCAAACCTACAATAACTAAACCACAACTATAACATCTATGAAATATTTGTTACTGTCTAATTGCTATTTAACCCTGTCACCATGAGAAGACCAAACCTAATCACTCTTGGTTGTGACACGGCCCCATAAATGCAGATATATTGTTGGTCTGCAGTGACCTGTTCTCGAAGTGTTAAATTCCACTGGTTCTGTGTGTGCCTCTGCAGAGTTTAACAGGTCAGGACATGAATGTAGCAAAAATAAAAGAATTTAGGAGGGTTCCTTATGACCCCAATGGCTTTTCAAAAGCCAAGTTGCTGTTAAATTTTCCTGTAACCCTCAGTGAGTGAGGTCACTGCATGAGCCAACCTATAAACAATTTTGTAATCTATTAGTGACCAGTGGAATATGGCTTTGTTTTGTCCAGAATTTTCTCCAGAAACGCCCATCAGGTTCATGACCAGCCCCTTCCTTTTTTCAAGCCTTCGCAGATTGAAAGGGTTAAAACACACAGTTCCAAACAAAATATTTAAAAAACTTTAAAAAAATCTATCAACAAACTAAAACAAATAATAACAGTACAAACTCAAGCAAACTTAACAAATAAGTTAGCAATCAATGCATCATATTTTTAAAAGAAAATTGGAACAAAACGTCTACATCAAATAATGTAAAAACAACTTAAAATGTATGCCTTTAAAACTGTCCTCAACAAACAAGTAAGAAATTCATTAACGACAATATAATTACAATTCTGAGGCAGTGTTAAAACAGAGGTACATATTATATATTCATTAAAAAAAAACATTTATGGTAACCATCCCCATACAAAACCCATACATGCACATAAAACTTGGACAGCTGCTATCTCTTGGGGCCCTCAGGTCGGCCCCTATCTTGTTGCGCGGCTGAGCTGGTCTCTATCACATTCTGCAAAGCATTGGGGGTAAGCCACTCTTTGGGTATCGCCCGTTCTATAAAAGGTATGCAGGAGCTGACGTAGGCCAAACGGTTGACCCAGCTTGGTAACTCCTTGCCACACAGGGTCTGGTGAAGATGAATTAATTAAAAAAAAAAATTAATAATCTTTTGTGGTAATGTAAAAGAGGAATGGTTCACGAAGCCTGGCAAACAATATATTTCTACAAAACTCCCTGTATGGGTTCCGTTATAGGGAAAACAAGAATAGATTCACTGCCTACCCAAAAGCATGTCGTAAGGCAAGGAACCAGCAGTCTGCACACAAATGAGTCAGATCTGTAAAACGGATTCACACGCAACACTCAGGTTTTGGAACAGGGCTGCAGTCCAGAAGTAGATGAACAGCCAGAACTTTCCGCCAGAGTTTACAGCTAGTGGACGCACAGAAGAATACGATTTCTACAAAATCATGTTGTGTCTGCAGGCAAATAAAATTATGCAGGACATGATTCTGCACCAAATTATCATGTATCGGTCGGTTTCCTTTTTCTTGGAGTCCATACCGTGCGGCATTGGTAGTCATGTCTATCCACAACCTTCGGTCTCGTGTAATTTTAATCAACTCTGACACAGATGATCCTTCATGCCATGATGTCAAACTGTCCCACATCTTTTCTCATGGTCTCCCACTACCTCTCCTCCCCTCCAACTTTCCTACTGTCATAATGTACTCATTTTCTCCTTCTTCTCACATGACAAAAGAATGCTTCTTACATGACCAAAGATTGCTTCTCACATGACCAAAGATTGCTTCTCACATGACCAAAGATTGCTTCTCACATGACCAAAGATTGCTTCTCACATGACCAAAGATTGCTTCTCACATGACCAAAGAATGCTTCTCACATGACCAAAGAATGCAGACTGTCTCTTTCTGATGTGGGCAACCACTTCTCAAGGTGACAAAATTAGACCTATGTAGGTTCCAGGACCCCATTGAATGTGGGGGGGGGGGGGGGGGGCAAGAACAGAACCACTGCCCCCTAACAAGCAGATTGTAAAAGGTGACTAATTAGGGGTGTTACTGTGAGGAACCAACAGTCGGCATACAAATAAGTCAGTTAGAAAGAAGAAGAAGACCTAGATGAGACTGATTGTGTCTTGAGACCACATGTGTGTTACAAGATGGCTAATTATCCCTTTCTGAGACCAGATGTCTTACAGTGTGGATGATCAGACCTACCTGAGCCCGGATGTATCTGTATCACAGAGGGTAGTCAGATCTATTTGATCCCGAATATCTGTATCAGCAAGGTAATTAGACCTATTTGATCCAGAATGTCTGTATCTGAGTAGGTAATTAGATCTATTTGAGACCAGAGGTGTCTATTTCAAAAATGGCCTAGAAATGTCAAAAACAAATATTTATTCAGAATGCATACCCTATGATTAATGCAAAGACTACAAAATACTGCATCCAGTCTCCCACAGCGCGTCGAGATTTAGTAAAAATGCAGCCAGACTAAACTACATCATCAGACTTTTCCCAGCACAACATCCTGGAGAAGGCAAGGAGAAGAACAAGAAAGAGATGCAAAGATAGTGTAGCTGGAATCTGGAAAAAGATGAACAAATCCAACACCCAAGCCACCTGAGAAGTGCAAGGCCAATACAGAAAACCACGACACTGGGCTACCACCTGGTACCTGTGAGCTGACAAAGGAAACATGGAGATTTACATATTTGCTGAAACTGGATAAGCTGAGATGAAAGACAGATTCCATAGCCTTGCTGTAACTAGCAATGTAAGGTGCTAACTGCCCTTTAAAGGGTGAGTGGTGGGAATAAACCCAAACATAAACATACCTGTGCAAGTGCTGCTGTAACTAGCAATATAAGGTGCTAACTGCCCTTTAAAGAGTGAGTGGTGGGAATAAACCCAAACATAAACATACCTGTGCAAGTGCTGCTGTAACTAGCAATATAAGGTGCTAACTGCCCTTTAAAGAGTGAGTGGTGGGAATAAACCCAAACATAAACATACCTGTGCAAGTGCTGCTGTAAAGTGATTGCAGTTTTTGTTGAGTAGATGGTACTGGTCACCTCGAAACTCCTTTCCGAGCTCTTCTGTAATTTTCCGAACATCGTCCAGAGCAAAATCTGTGTAGCCCAAACATATAGCCTCTCTGTGAGAAGTAGAAGAAAACAAATTGTTACCAAGTTCCGTGCAAGATTAACAAGGGAAACAAAATTTTACAACTGAAATGAGATTCTTGAGAAGGGCACTTTATATAACAAGGAGAGATAAGATCAGAAACGATGAAATCTGAAGTAAAATAGGGGTAGCGGCAGCCCTGGATTTTATTAGAAAACAACAGGTAAAATGGTTTTGCCATACAACATAGATGTCGGACAGTATACCACAGCAATGATGTAGAGACAAGGCAGGAAGCAAAAAAGAGGCAGACCAGCGAAAAAGAGGCAGACCATGCAAAATAAGGACAGAGGTAATGCAAACAAGCTGATCAAGATGAGATGAGATACAAGATTAACCATCATTATAGTCCTATAAATTATGTTGCTGAGTCTGCTGTCGACTGTCTGATCAACTCCTTCCACCTCTGTCTGTCAGATGCAATGGACTTGATGTTGGCACATTTAAGGCCTGCCCATTCAGCCAGATTCTTCTTCTTCTGTGTTCACCAGCTCTAGCAGAAAGTCCTGGTTGTATGTCCATTTGGACTTTGGCTTTGTGTTCAACCGCTAAAGAAGTGAGACTGACAGCACCCATAATGGCTACACCAGTGTTGCACCATTAACTGATTCTTCCTCTTCTTCGCATCACCAGGTGTAAATTCTGTCAGAAAGTTCTGGTTGTTTGTCCACTTCTGGAAATTGGTTTTGTTCTGCACGCACATTCATTTTACAGATCTGGATTATTTCTATGCAGGCTGTTGGTTTCTTTGCCTCTCAGGCAGATGCACTTTGATTTCAAAGAAAACAACTAATCATTTGCGTCTTGTGACATGCTTACTAGAGGGTAGTGGGTCTAGTCTGTTTACCCCAACATCGGGGTCATCACCTGACCACATCCCAAAAAGGTCTTGCTTCAAAGCTTAAGCGGGAAGAAAGTCTCTACAGAACTTCAATACAAAAGACCAAGTACCATTCAGGGATCGGACAACCTGAACACTAGTGCATTATACACAGGATTCCCAACGTTTCCATACACAAGACAAATAATCATTTCACCAATGCCACTGTAAGAACAACTCAGGCTATGCTTACACACATTCTTCAGTAGTACATGACACGCATAAATGTGTCTTCAACACAGCAGGCACGTCAAACATGCATTCTTAGCAAACATACCTGCATCCTGCCCAAAGGATACATAAACATACAGAATACATAAATTAGTTGTTGTGTGCAGCCCTCTCATGACCTCACAAATGTGACCCATATGGTCCTGGGGGACCCTCAGTTTGACCCGCCGGACGTAGAGCATATTAAATGAATAAAAACTGTTTATTGTTTCTCCCCCATGTATGAATTTTATGTGATCGCCTGTGGATCGGAAGGTCATGGGTTCGGGTCCAGATGGAACCTTGACTCTCAGGTCGACCCAGCTTTGAGTGGGTACCAGGTGCTGTCCTGGGAAGTAAAGGCAGCCAGCGTGATGTTGACCACATCACCCACCAAGTGCCGATTGGTCTATAAAAAATAGGTCTAGCCCTATGTGCATGGAAACAGGTAAAAAAGAAAAATGAATCTTACAAGATACCATGGACAGAAACAACTAAAAACTCATCCCCCAGAAGATTCACAAACAAACATCATACTTGAACTTAAACTGCTCCCCAAGGTCGTCTGCATCCCGAGGTTCAATCTCAAACACCCCAGACAGAGGCAGTGGGTGTCCGCCGTAGGCATATTCTGTGAACACACACAACAGTATTGAGTAATATATGTAATCTTATCATATATTTATATGTTAGTGGATAATGTACATTAACATACGCAATAAGATATATCTAACAATGTTGAATTAAGAGTCAACATCATAGCACCCGGGACACTCCCATAAGCGTTCTGTCCCCATCTTCAGAGTTCCAATTCCGATGGTACCAGTAAATGTCTGACTGACATCTGTCTCGCCTTTTCCTTGATTGTATCAGCCAGATCCCCTGGAAGCTCCCAACAGTGCCATTCTCCTCAGACTGTAATGATCGATTTGTGCCTCCAAACTGTTCCCTCGCATCCAAAGAGCATCTAGCAATGTAACATTAGAAAATACATAAATTCATAAACACAAAATGTATATACAGGTAAGCATGGTCTGGTAGTCCTAGTGTCAGCTTCATAGCAAACGGGTCACCCCATCTTTGCTCCGCTCCTGTGCCAACGAAAAAACACACAGAATGTTTATCACAGTCCCTTGTGGAAAGATTGACATCAGACTGCTGTCTCAGCATATCTAGCATACACTCGCATTAAAGCATGCGGTAGCCATCCGAAGTGCTAACACAAACAGTCCCACTTTAGAAATGCAGTTCATTATTGATGATAGCAGAAGTCGCCCACGCGATCAATTTTAATCACATACGAGCACCACCAACATTGCACGACAGGCATCGCCCCATTTTCTGAATCTACAATTCACACCACCACATTGGTCACAGTCGAAAAAACATTCCAAATTAATCTGAAGCTCACAGTGTCACGCCATGCATTCAACTCAGAAGCTGGGCGACGAAACTATATCCAGTCTACAAATGGAGCAAAAATGCATCAGCCACCGTCCGGCAGAAGCAAAATATTTGCCTCTGCTTCGAACAGTGCCGCTGCCTAGCGTCCATTTTGACTGGAATATACAGGTAAGTGCATGGTATATGCAGTTACTGTATCAGTTGTCATGTAATATTATGATAAATGTTGTCCTGTTATCTTATAACATAAGTAAGTGTATGATATATATATTACTATTTCTGTCGGTACTTCGCATTTTTTTTTCAGGAGAGAGTATCATATTGTGCTACAGTGAATGGTGGGAATCCCAGCTAACTTCTTATTCCGAATTCATCCTCAAAAGGGCAGTAACTATGCTTTGATATGGCTGCCAGCTAGACTGTGATATCAGTTGATCTTTTGGACCAACACATCTGATTTCAGCAACCTGCCAGTTAGCTGCCTTTTACAACATGACTGTAAGGAGGACAGTGGCCCTGCTCTACTTTTTTTGTACCCCCTGCCACAAATGAAGATCCAGGACCCACACGGATAGAGACAAGCTGAAATGACCCAGACAGAGTACAAACACTCACCTGTGCCGTACACCTGTACACCTGAGTGAAAGACTCCTATTCCTAGGGAGGATGTGTACTCATTGATCCAATACTGTGGAAAGTGACAAGTTTGGATTACAGTGATGTAGAGTTGAGCTGAGTCAAGAACTGACATCACAGAACTCAGGGCATTCCCATGCATGGTCTGTCCTCATCTTCAGCTGCCAGCGCAGAGTTAAAAGTGAATCATAAATGATGTAATAAGTGGTCAACTGGGTAGTGCACTGGCTGACTAATGCTGTGGTCTTGTTCAAACATGGTTAAAGGAACTGTTTCCAAGTACAACGGGCTGTGGTTTAGATATTCTTCTTTATGTTCATCAACTGTAAACTCCAGCAGAAAGTTCTGGTTGTTTGCTAAGTTATGGACTTCAGTTCTGCTATAAAACTTGAGTGTCACGTGCACATCAGTTTTACAGATCTGGCTTATTTATTTGCAGACTGCTGGTTCCTTGTCTCTCAGGCACATGCACTCAAATTTTTAAGGTAGCCACAATTAGTCGACTCTTACAACATGCTTACTAGGGACGCAGTGGGTCAATACCTCACAATGGGGCCCCGGAACCCACACCAAAAGGCTTGGATATGAATGAGTTAGTTAGTTGAATATCCTTTATATGACTTTGCAGAACCAACCCAGCATTTTTTGGCTGCTTGTGATTTCCCGAGAAAATTCTACGTTCAGTAGTTTGCCACTGCTTTTTGAACAGCCGGCTCCTAATACTGAAACCAACCTAGGCGATCTGCTGCCAAATCGCCTGCAGCTGGGATTTAACACGGCACCATGGCATTACGAAGTGCTTTCACAATGTCTAACTCATAGACAGTGAAAAGTACAGAGAGACAACATTGTGGAGAGAGTGCAAAGGCAAGTACAGGGAGACAACATTGTGGAGAGAGTGCAAAGACAAGTACAGAGTGACAACATTGTGGAGAGAGTGCAAAGACACGTACAGAGAGACAACATTGTGGAGAGAGTACAAAGACAAGTACAGAGAGACAACATTGTGGAGAGAGAACAAAGACAAGTACAGAGAGACAACATTGTGGAGAGAGAACAAAGACAAGTACAGAGAGACAACATTGTGGAGAGAGTGCAAAGACAAGTACAGAGCGACAACATTGTGGAGAGAGAACAAAGACAAGTACAGAGCAACAACATTGTGGAGAGAGAACAAAGACAAGTACAGAGCAACAACATTGTGGAGAGAGAACAAAGACAAGTACAGAGCAACAACATTGTGGAGAGAGTGCAAAGACAAGTACAGAGAGACAACATTGTGGAGAGAGTGCAAAGACAAGTACAGAGTGACAACATTGTGGAGAGAGTGCAAAGACACGTACAGAGAGACAACATTGTGGAGAGAGTACGAAGACAAGTACAGAGAGACAACATTGTGGAGAGAGTACAAAGACAAGTACAGAGAGACAACATTGTGGAGAGAGTACAAAGACAAGTACAGAGAGACAACATTGTGGAGAGAGTGCAAAGACAAGTACAGAGAGACAACATTGTTGAGAGAGTGCAAAGAAAAGTACAGAGCGACAACATTGTGGAGAGAGAACAAAGACAAGTACAGTGACAACATTGTGGAGAGAGTACAAAGACAAGTACAGAGAGACAACATTGTGGAGAGAGTACAAAGACAAGTACAGAGAGACAACATTGTGGAGAGAGTGCAAAGACAAGTACAGAGCGACAACATTGTGGAGAGAGAACAAAGACAAGTACAGAGCAACAACATTGTGGAGAGAGAACAAAGACAAGTACAGAGTGACAACATTGTGGAGAGAGTGCAAAGACAAGTACAGAGCGACAACATTGTGGAGAGAGTGCAAAGACAAGTACAGAGAGACAACATTGTGGAGAGAGTGCAAAAGCAAGTACAGAGAGACAACATTGTGGAGAGAGTGCAAAGACAAGTACAGAGTGACAACATTGTGGAGAGAGTGCAAAGACAAGTAAAAGACCCATTTCATGCCAGTGGAAAATCAGGCATGTGGTGCTAAATTTAAATCTTTGTAGACCAATCAGCACTCTGTGGATGATGTGGTCAACAACACGCCGGCCACCTTTACTTTCCGAAATATGGCCTGGTACCCATTTTCGGCTGGGTCAGCAAATGTGACTTAGGTGTTGCGAACGTGCTTCATAGTCCCAAGATGCCACATTTGATTCAAGCTGCAGACGATTTGTCAGCAGACCCCCTCGTGTTGGTTTCGACAGTGGTGTCAAGATCCGACTATCCAGAAAGCAATGGCAAACTACCTAATGCAAAACTGACTAGTAAAACCACAAACAGCCAAAACATGCAGGGGTTTAATCCTGCAATGAATTTGTGTTCTAACTTACCTTTGCTGGGGTGGCACTGAGTTAAAAATAAAAAAGGCTTTTGAGCCCACATGATGGTGTGAAGAAGCGTTAGCAGTTTTCTCTAACAAGCCAAGGGCGAGTGAGTGGTCTCGAGGCATGGTGTCTGCCTCGAGTGCTAGAGGTTCCGGTTCAATCCCCGGTAAGAGCTGGAATTTTTTTACTAGTAATTCCCCCTGGTCTCTGGTTAGTGAGATTGTTTGTTGCACACGTAAAAAATCCCTTGGTAGTTGGAAAACAAAAAGAGTAACCTAAAGGCGACGCCCTGGCAAAATTTTGAGTTAAAAATCTACCCAAAGTATTTCAGGATCCTCGTGGGTGCAACAGAGCCTGTGCACTGTGCTGAGCTTCTTTGGACTGAGTCTTGAGTTAGAAGATGAACGGAGCACTTTATGGGTTACTACCCGTGTGCCATGATGCTGATCTGTTGTTCAAACTTCAAATAAGCCACACACAGAAACTCCCACATGAAATATACTAGCTGGAATTTATGCTGATTATCACTTATCTCAAAAGAATGGGTCCTTTACTCACCTCAGGCCCAGCATTTGGCAAAATTCAAGCATCTCAGGCCCAGCATTTGGCAACATTCAATCATCTCAGGCCCAATCTAAGACAACATTCAATCATCTCAGGCCAAGTCTAAAGCAACATTCACTCATCTCAGGCCAAGTCTAAGGCAACATTTACTCATCTCAGGCCAAGTCTAAGGCAACATTTACTCATCTCAGGCCAAGTCTAAGACAACATTCCCTGATCTCAGGCCAAGTCTAAGGCAACATTCCCTGATCTCAGGCCAAGTCTAAGGCAACATTCACTCCTCTCAGGCCAAGTCTAAGGCAACATTTACTCATCTCAGGCCAAGTCTAAGCAACATTTACTCATCTCAGGCCAAGTCTAAGACAACATTCACTCATCTCAGGCCAAGTCTAAGACAACATTCCCTGATCTCAGGCCGTCTAAGGCAACATTCACTCATCTCAGGCCAAGTCTAAGGCAACATTTACTCATCTCAGGCCAAGTCTAAGGCAACATTCCCTGATCTCAGGCCAAGTCTAAGACAACATTCCCTGATCTCAGGCCAAGTCTAAGGCAACATTCACTCATCTCAGGCCAAGTCTAAGACAACATTCCCTGATCTCAGGCCAAGTCTAAGGCAACATTCACTCATCTCAGGCCAAGTCTAAGGCAACATTCACTCCTCTCAGGCCAAGTCTAAGACAACATTCCCTGATCTCAGGCCAAGTCTAAGGCAACATTCACTCATCTCAGGCCAAGTCTAAGACAACATTCACTCCTCTCAGGCCAAGTCTAAGACAACATTCACTCATCTCAGGCCAAGTCTAAGGCAACATTTACTCATCTCAGGCCAAGTCTAAGGCAACATTTACTCATCTCAGGCCAAGTCTAAGGCAACATTTACTCATCTCAGGCCAAGTCTAAGGCAACATTTACTCATCTCAGGCCAAGTCTAAGGCAACATTTACTCATCTCAGGCCAAGTCTAAGGCAACATTTACTCATCTCAGGCCAAGTCTAAGGCAACATTTACTCATCTCAGGCCAAGTCTAAGACAACATTCACTCCTCTCAGGCCAAGTCTAAGGCAACATTTACTCATCTCAGGCCAAGTCTAAGACAACATTCACTCCTCTCAGGCCAAGTCTAAGACAACATTCACTCCTCTCAGGCCAAGTCTAAGGCAACATTTACTCATCTCAGGCCAAGTCTAAGGCAACATTCACTCCTCTCAGGCCAAGTCTAAGACAACATTTACTCATCTCAGGCCAAGTCTAAGACAACATTCACTCCTCTCAGGCCGTCTAAGGCAACATTTACTCATCTCAGGCCAAGTCTAAGACAACATTCACTCCTCTCAGGCCAAGTCTAAGGCAACATTTACTCATCTCAGGCCAAGTCTAAGACAACATTCACTCCTCTCAGGCCAAGTCTAAGACAACATTCCCTGATCTCAGGCCAAGTCTAAGGCAACATTCACTCCTCTCAGGCCAAGTCTAAGGCAACATTTACTCATCTCAGGCCAAGTCTAAGACAACATTCACTCCTCTCAGGCCAAGTCTAAGGCAACATTTACTCATCTCAGGCCAAGTCTAAGGCAACATTTACTCATCTCAGGCCAAGTCTAAGACAACATTCACTCATCTCAGGCCAAGTCTAAGACAACATTCACTCCTCTCAGGCCAAGTCTAAGGCAACATTTACTCATCTCAGGCCAAGTCTAAGGCAACATTTACTCATCTCAGGCCAAGTCTAAGGCAACATTTACTCATCTCAGGCCAAGTCTAAGACAACATTCACTCCTCTCAGGCCAAGTCTAAGGCAACATTTACTCATCTCAGGCCAAGTCTAAGGCAACATTTACTCATCTCAGGCCAAGTCTAAGACAACATTCACTCATCTCAGGCCAAGTCTAAGACAACATTCACTCCTCTCAGGCCAAGTCTAAGGCAACATTTACTCATCTCAGGCCAAGTCTAAGGCAACATTTACTCATCTCAGGCCAAGTCTAAGGCAACATTTACTTATCTCAGGCCAAGTCTAAGACAACATTCACTCCTCTCAGGCCAAGTCTAAGGCAACATTTACTCATCTCAGGCCAAGTCTAAGGCAACATTTACTCATCTCAGGCCAAGTCTAAGGCAACATTCACTCCTCTCAGGCCAAGTCTAAGACAACATTCCCTGATCTCAGGCCAAGTCTAAGACAACATTCACTCCTCTCAGGCCAAGTCTAAGGCAACATTTACTCATCTCAGGCCAAGTCTAAGACAACATTCACTCATCTCAGGCCAAGTCTAAGACAACATTCACTCCTCTCAGGCCAAGTCTAAGGCAACATTCCCTGATCTCAGGCCAAGTCTAAGACAACATTCACTCCTCTCAGGCCAAGTCTAAGGCAACATTTACTCATCTCAGGCCAAGTCTAAGACAACATTCCCTGATCTCAGGCCAAGTCTAAGACAACATTCACTCCTCTCAGGCCAAGTCTAAGGCAACATTTACTCATCTCAGGCCAAGTCTAAGACAACATTTACTCATCTCAGGCCAAGTCTAAGACAACATTCACTCATCTCAGGCCAAGTCTAAGACAACATTCACTCCTCTCAGGCCAAGTCTAAGGCAACATTCACTCCTCTCAGGCCAAGTCTAAGACAACATTTACTCATCTCAGGCCAAGTCTAAGGCAACATTCACTCCTCTCTGGCCAAGTCTAAGGCAACATTCCCTGATCTCAGGCCGTCTAAGGCAACATTCACTCCTCTCAGGCCAAGTCTAAGGAAACATTCACTCCTCTCAGGCCAAGTCTAAGGCAACATTCACTCCTCTCAGGCCAAGTCTAAGGCAACATTCATTCATCTCAGGCCAAGTCTAAAGCAACATTCACTCATCTCAGGCTAAGTCTAAGGCAACATTCCCTGATCTCAGGCCGTCTAAGACAACATTCACTCCTCTCAGGCCAAGTCTAAGGCAACATTCACTCCTCTCAGGCCAAGTCTAAGGCAACCTTGTCTCTCGTTAGGTTTTACAATTAATGACATCAACTATAGCACACACTTATTTTCTATAAGACTGGAACTCACCATGTCATACACATTAAGAATGACCGGCTCCTGAGCCATGGCTGGAGCAAACAAGTCAACCAAATCACAACGCGGCGGTGACAGAAAGGGCAGAATTTCTCCTGGGACAGCTAAACTGCCACACACTCAAACTATACAAATGCTGTTTGTACAAGCAAACATCGTCGGGCTTAAACAAGAAAACATTCAATTAATGTTAAAAAAGATGCAAATGTTACTAAATATAGTAACATGTTTACTATTTTTAAGTTTCAGAGCAGCTCTTTGGCTTAAAGATGAGTGAAACTGTTTCAAAATGGGCTATCTTCCAAATAACGGTCCCAAATTATCGAGGCGTGGGATACCCTCGGCGGTGGTGGAAGTGTGCAATTTAAGTCGCCAGAAGTGCGCAACTGACACGTGACTGAGGTCCTGTTAGGTTATATTTTCTGCCTCGATAATTTGGGACCGTTATTTGGAAGATAGCCTCAAAATGTAATCCTCGACATAACAAGTTTTAATTTAGATGGCAAATGGTTTAGAAAAGATCATTTTTGCGGCTTTTAGACAGTGGACAAAATATCTGTGTTTTGCTATGTTACAAGTATGATGTATTTTGGTATTTTCAGTTAGTGTTGTCAAATATAATAATAATAATTTGTACGCCACAAGGCGTATTTCACTATTTGGTAAAGAAAGATTCAAAGTACATTTATTTACTGTTACTTTACGTTCATTCAACACCATTCTTATCTGAGAGCAGTTTGGTTAAGGATATAAATAACCAGTTAGTTACATGAGTATTTTGCTTGATATTTTACACCAGGCAGGACATCTTTTATTTTTTTCTCACATAAAAATTAATAATAAAAACTTAAAACTAACAGTACCAGTCTTAAGTCTACACAAGTCGCTAGCTGGCTTCATGTCTTACCTGCTTAGGTATTGTGGGGTTATATTATTCATAAACAAAATTGATGAAAATTGTAAGCTAGAATTGAAAACAAGTGAGATAAACAGGAACATTCCTCATGAAGAAAATACCTGGGAGTAAATCAGGCAGGAAACAGACGACAAACTGTTGAGCTCTTCATCACTGAAACATGAGTCATGGCAAAACACCAACGCCGAGACATTTAAGAGGAACAAA